ACAATAATAATGGGGAGCACCTTACGAAGGATTGACGAGGCCCCAAGGTAGCAGCGGCAGTGGTAAGAGAAGTGAGTTCAGAGCAGACAACAGCTGGTAGCTCTGTCTTCCGTGCAGTAGAGTTGGCCCCTTGGGGGTGGGGCCTGAGGTCTGCTCCCTGTCTGAGCTCCTTCCAAGGGCCTCCGTGGTTCCACCTCAGCCGTCTCTGCACAAAGGGCATAAGTAGACCCACAGACACAGCAGCATTTGCAAACACATTCATCATTTGCAAACAAATAGCAAGAAGTCAATGGCTATTCTCATTTCCCCCTCGAGGCTGCTTTCCTGTAAAGCCGGTTTGCAGTGCCCTCGAAGAGCCGGTTTGTAGCTGTGGGACGTCCACTTACTCAGGCCTGGTAGCTCTGCTTCCTTCAAACCACCTTTGGTCCTGCAGCCCTGTGGGAGCGGGGAGTCAGAGCGGAGGGAAGTCCGATCACGTGCTTCTTTCTCCAGGGAGCCGCCCCACTGCCCTACCTGCCACAGAGCAGCAAGCAGCTGCGCAAGCACATGGGGGTAGAAAAACAGAGCGGCTTAGCTGGCACCTGGAAAGCGGTGAACTCTCTCCTGACAGAAGGAAGGAGGAGGCTGGGGGATCTTGAAGGCCAATGGGGAGGCCTTTGTGCCTGGTAAATAGCAAGGCTATACCAACGTAGCGTCCCATGTCCTGGGTCCACAGGGTCGCATCCCACAGCAGGCTGGCCTGGATGATGCTGGAACTGTGAAAACGGCCCCACGGTGGGATGAGGAAAAGGCCTAGGAGCAGATGAAGAGCGTGGTTGGAAAGAAGTAGGTTTCTCGGAGTTGTAAGATGGAACTAGGAGAGTGCCCAGAGCAAGCCTGCGGGTGGGTCCTGGCCGCTCACTTGCTGGCCCTGCGGCTTTGGACCAGTTACTCGCCCTCTGTGCACTTCCCTCCCTCCTAAATCCAGGCTGCTAACGCCTGTCCTGCACCGTCCTGGCCTTGCGAAGTGTTGGGACATTGAGGGGTAAGGAAAAGGGCTTTGCCAAATTGGACAGTGATCTGAAGGGACTTTAGACTTAGGTGGCATGGCTTATGGAGTAAAAGAATCAGTTCCTTTTATGGAAGTAGAAGATGCTCCTTCCATTTGGGTCTAGTCTTGGGGGTGGTTAGGGCAAGTACCAGGTGCTGGGAGCCAAGGGATGGGCTCTCAGCTCCCCATTCCAATACTTAGGACAGACGATGGAAGAAATGTGTGTTCCTTCAAGCATGTAAAGATGGGTCCCTCCTGCCCCCCACAGAATAGGCCGGGGGAGTCCCCGCCCCTTCACGTGACTCCCTGTGCTGTGGAATCTTACGAAACTGTAGAAGTAAGAAGAATGAAATGAAAATACACGTATTTTTTAAGTAAGAAATTTATTTGATTAAATGACAATATATGAAGATATTTTAAATGATAAGGCTCTATGTAAATTTTTTATAAATGTGACTGTATAAAGCATTCATAAAATCCTCACGTACTTTAAAACCAGGTTGCAAGTAAGTATAACAGAACCTGTAAATAGTACTTAAAAGCAGGTTTCTTAAGTGACACTTGCAATTTGTCATCCTACACGAGGCATCTGGGGTTCTGTGACAATCAGGCATGGCTACCCTCAGTGAGAAGGGGTTGTTCCTCGAGCAGAACTGAAGCCGAGATTACACCACGACCTCAAGCTCCCTACACAGTATCCTAGCCTTTCAAGCCCTTGGGAATTGGAATTGAATAGGTGGGAATCTCTAGTCACTCTAGTTGAGGATAATTAGACAAAGAGGTTGGGAAGCCGGGGTTGGAAAGAGGGAGGGGAGGGGAAACCGAGGCATGGCTAGGGAAGAGGTTTCTACAGAGCAGTTTTAGAAATGACCAAGGAAATGATGAAAATAAAAACAAACACAACACAAAAACAGAGGCTCCTCAGAGCTGCACCCTGGGGTCTGCAGGGAGGAGGGCACCAGGACCCTGAAGGCCGGACCTGACCAAGCTTGCAGCTGGGCCACCACACACTCGCAGAAAAATCTTCCCTGGAGGGCGGAGTCATGACCTGTGCACCAGGAGCAGGGCGGAGTGTGTAGGTTACATCAACTTCTCCCCAAAGATTTTTCCAGCATCCAAGTGACTCTGTTTTCGGGCCAACAGAGAACCCGGGACGCAGGAATCAGCAGCTGCAAGTTATAAAACCAGAAAAGCTTCAGACCTGTGGATGGTGAACCGTAGGAAGAAGGTGATGTCTCCAAGTGTGCACACTGCAGGCAGCAAAGCACGAACGCGTCCAAGTGATTCAGGGGGAACTGAACCATAGGGAGGTATGGGAAGACCCCAGAAAGCAAAGGATGGTAACCACAAAGTAATCATATAGCACCCATTATTATAACTTAAGATACATAAACATCATCGAGGATCTATCTAGTGTCTGTGCTATTATTTTATAAATACAAAGACTTATGAGGGCTTCAAAATATTACAAATGATACATACATTCTGGTATGAATGTCACGCTCCAGATTCATACAACAGACGTGATGTTACACTTGAACATAGATTAGGGGTGACGTATAGAATAATTTTTGCAGACCATTTTCTGAACCTTGGTCACACAGGTGAATACCAAAATCACAGGAAGCATCTTATTTGGTGGCTTTGGCAGCAAACACGTTTTTTTTGGCTATGCATTTATGCCTCATACAAAGATTCGCTGCTCGTTTGTATAAATGATTTAAAGTCATCCAGAGAGCTTACGCCGAGAGCTCTTTTCTGTTTCCTTATCTGCTTCTTTGCTATCGAGTCTCTGTGGGAGGGCCCCTCAGTGGCGCGGCTCCTTTCCCTGAGGCTCCTTGTCTTCCTTAGAGGGCTGTATTTAAAAACAGTTTCATGTTTCCCATTCAGGCTAAGTGGCTCTTTAAAATCCCTAACCCTGAGATCAGTCTTCTTATCCATGACACGGACGCATGTGCACACGCTTACACACACACACACATTGTAATAAAACCAGTACATCCCTTCCTATCACCTGATTTCAGCAGTGTGCTTTCAAAATCTCTGTTCCCAGCACTACAGAAAATAACCTCCCAACATGTCCAGGTTGAGCCTTAGAGACGACCCTTCCTCTCTGAGGTGACAACGTGAGACAAACCTCAAGGTGGTTGGGGTCAGGGGTCCCAAGGTCAAGGTTCTGTGCGCCCACAGAACATGAAAGCGCAGCCTCAGCAGAATCTAAAACTACTTTCTATTAGGGAGGATGTGACAGCCAATGACTCTGTGGGCTGACTCTGTAACTCCTCTTATGCACGTGTGACCTAAATGGTCTACTCGGCTTACCCACCAGGAAAGGGGAGCAGTATTAACACCATCCCTTTATGACCACACGCATGATCTCAGGCACAGACATGTACAGCTCAACCCAGTTTATCTTTACGTCTTAAAGCCAGGGCTCAACCGTTCACCTCTGCTTCATTTCCCCAAAACAAATCTCCACTGTGGCGCCCGGAGAGAGGCTAGTGTCGCAGAGCGAAGCCAGCCTTTCTGTTGTGATGTGGCTGCGCCAACCTTGGAGAGAGATGCTGGGAGCTGGAGTCCCAGTCTGTGCAAATTTTCTCAGTGATGACCTGGCATGTAAACATACTCAAGTGAAATGACTAAAATAATTGGCTTTAATTTTTAAAAAAGGATCTAGGAAAATGACAGAGTAGCTTATGTACCTTCTCTAACAGATATTACCCCCTGGCAAGAGGTGCTTCTTTGGGCTCAACTCATCTGAAAATAGTTCCATTTGGAACTTTCCTTAGCCAGTTACTATAACCGGGCACTGACTCAACGCTGGTTCTAGGGCAGTGATGGCGAACCTTTTGAGCTCGGCGTGTCAGCATTTTGAAAAACCCTAACTTAACTCTGGTGCCGTGTCACATATAGAAATTTTTTGATATTTGCAACCATAGTAAAACAAAGACTTATATTTTTGATATTTATTTTGCATATTTAAATGCCATTTAACAAAGAAAAATCAACCAAAAAAATGAGTTCGCGTGTCACCTCTGACACATGTGTCATAGGTTCGCCATCACTGTTCTAGGGGATGAAACAAAACATCGATGGGTATGAAGCCGCACAGCCGGTCAACGGGCTTCGCCCAACCGGGTGCCACAATCACACCCCCCAGACTGACCGTGAGTCAAGCCAGCTCCTCATTCCCCACCAGCCAAACACCACCGTGTCCTAAAATGTGGTCTGGTAGCGAGGAGAGTGGAATCAAGGCCCTCATGGCAACAGCTAGGCTGGGCGCCCATGGCACGGCCCATGGCCGACCCCCGGCCCCACAGAACTGGGTGTCTGTTAAAGAGACATCTACGGCTGGAAGAACAACCTGAAACTTCAGAATCCTGACCAAAGGATGAAGCTGCTCTGTGCCATTCGCTCGGCCACCTGACTCTCCTCTCCTCCCCGCCCCAAGAGAAGTGTATCCACACCAGATGTGTGGGGGGAGATGGCTCCGAACCCCAGGTGAGTGGCTGAAAGCTGACACTGGGCTCAGAACCACTTCCATCTGTTAATCTTTCCAGCTTTAGGTTTCAGGACTGAGGTATGAATAGCATAATACAAGGGTAATGTGAGCGAAGTCTGATGCTTTGTTCATTATCAAGCTATCTATGCAACGTCCGTGGAAGGCAATCGAGTGGGGTAATGTGTCTGGCCTGGTAGAAAAATAAACACCAGTCGAATCACGTCTTTGTTTAAAATTTCCCATCTAAAAAATCAATTGCAAAGCCTGAGATTCCCTGCTTTTTAATGCTACTGCAACCTCAATTTCAAACCTGCATTGTGTGCTAAAGCTACGGAATAGACAACGCCACCGCCATGGGAGAGAAAAAACTGCCTGTGAGCAAGATGAACCACAGCCTAAGTGGAAAGGCATTTGAATGGACAGAACACTAAGATTTTTAAAGTTAAAATGATAGTGTATCTAGAAAATACTGTGAAAATATGTATCTCAAAATAGAACTAGGTTTAGTCAGAAGGCTCAGGAAAGCCACCACTTAAAAAGCTGACCAATAAAAAAGAGAGCTAAAATAACCTTCCCACTTTTGACTCTTCCTCACTTTTCTGCCCTTAGATTGTACCGTCTGGATGTCCTAAAGCGGAATAATCTAAGAGCAGTGACAACGTGCTGGTATTTTTCAGGATCTCTTCAAGACACTTTCCATCTTGGTAACTTGGCTCTTCTCTCTGATCAAGGCAACTCATGGACTTTAAATGTTTTTGGTGACACGGGTTCAAAGACTTCGTCATCGTCTTCCACTCCTTCTTCTATTGGTTTCATCTTGGCCGAGGCTCGCTGGTGTGGGGATGACACATCTGTCAGAGACACAGAAAGGAAAGCCACTTAGCGTGCAGCCTGTCCTGAAGCTGGTGTGATGCACCGGTTTCAAACTCCAACCGGAAAAGAAAACTCCCTGGGAATCCATCGCTGGTACCACGAATGGAGTTTCCCTTAACACTATATTTTCAATCCAGCATGTCAGTAAGACAACCAAGTCAGGAGGTGGAACACATTCCACTGCGTGTGCTTGTGTGATGGGCTTCTCAAACATCCCAGTCCCTAGTGGGTTGCCCTAAAGTCTGTTTAGGAATCAGAATGTTCCTACATGAATATCAGACATGGTGACTGGAGTCCCTGGAAAGCTGATTTAACTCCTGATTTCCCTAAAATATGGTTTTATTCTAAAACTATAGGCCCTCATACCATCTGTAGCATGACCTAAAAGAGCAGTTCTTGCCACCAACTGTCCAGCCATGCTCTGGACTGACATGGAGATGGAGAGCGGGGGACAGTGGGGCAGGAAGAGGGGTCAAACCTGCAGGCGGAAGAGCCAGTGGAGGAAATACAGTCTTAAGTAGCAAGGCATCCCAGGGCCTTACAGGATGCCATTTAATCAAAGGAACCAAGCAATGAATGATCCATGCATCCAGCCCTCGTTCATTCACTCATTTACCAAAAGCTTATTGAGCATGTCCCATATATGGACACCATGCCTGATGTAGAAAAAAAATATTGTCTGAAAGTAAGAGAACATATTGTAAATAGGTGCAGAGACTCCTTGAGGTGCCTCATGAGCAGCTCACATGACATCATAAGCACAGACTCCCCTCCATACAGTTCCCACATTCAATGTCAGGATCCACCTGCCCGCCCACACCTGTGCACATTCTTGCTTCCCCCTAGCAGGACGGAGTGGTATTCAGCAAATGCTGAACTCGGGCTGGGTGTAAGGTTGATGATGGAAGAACAATGGGTGAAATCAGACTCTTCAAGTGTTTTCTGTACAGCAAAGGCAAGTAGCAGGATCTTATAAAGACAGGAATCAGAATGGCTATAAGAAATTTATACTGATCAGCTGTTAAGCCTTGGCAAGAGTCAGCAGCAGCCAGCAGGGCCTGCCAGCCCTGAGAGCAGGCTGCAGTCAGCGAGGAGGGTCAGGGACCAGCAGGGGGCCCCACGGCACAGGGGCAGGCGGCCTGCACAGTGGTCAAGACCAGAGGCTGAGAAAACAATTCCAGGGTCAAGTCCCCGCTCTGCCGCTTCCTGCTGTATGCCTTGTGCTCCGTTACTGTGCCTCTCCAGGCCTCAGCTGCCCTATCTGTGGAAAGGAGATATTCACAGGACCTGCCTTCTAGGGTTGTTGGGAGGATTAAAGAAAAATGTGCTTAGCAGGGTGCTGGGCACATAGAAAATGTCACTAAATGTCATTTCTTATTGACGACAGAGTCACTGCCATACACCCAGGGAAATGCCACTACCAACAGCCACATCTTCCAACATAAAAAGGTCATCATTGTGCAGGCCCTGGCTCTGCTATAGTTTATGTGTTTGTTGTACACACACAGAAATTATTCACTTTCAAACATTTACAATCAATTAAAATACTGAGTTTCTGGAAAGACAACTACTGACCGACGGTAGAAAAGAAGCCTGTATGAAAGGCCCAAGAATGAACTTCTGGCACAGAGCACAAGGGCTTTGTGTCCCTTTTCGCACAGGCGATACCAAACACAACCTCCAATTCACAGGTCGGCTCAGGTGGCAATGAGTTCTGTCTGTGTGACCTTGGGCAAATTACTTCACTTCTCTGTGCCTTGATTGCCCTATCAGCAAAATAGAAGTAATCATAATAATATTATCTACTTCATATGGCTGTTTTGATGAATAAGTGTAAAGTTCTTACTCAAATCAGTACGTGGGATATGATAACACTTTGTAAATATTTGTAAGTCAATCAAATCAGTGAATTAATATGGTCTTTGGAGGGCAATAGCTTAAAGAATTGGGAAACTGGTTAAAGTTCATCATTGCCCATGAGGATGGCAAAGAAAGGAAATGGGACTAGTGCTTGAATAGGGGTCTGTGTTTCTCAGTCTAAACTGGCCTGAGTGCAGCACAGTTGTTTTGTGTGTGTGTGTGTGTGTGTGTGTGTGTGTGTGTGTGTTTTACCAGTAGCCATGGCTTCCATCATATTTCTAGCCTCAAGTTATGATTGAGTCTCATGAAATATTAACCTAGGCTGAGTATTTGCAATCAGACAAAACCCTCAGAACATTAAGCCAAATCAATAATGTAGCGCATTCAGACATAAGTGTATGCTACACATAACAGAAACACATCCAGTTCATTTTGATTGGGGAAGTGAGACCAACTGATCTCTACTTTTTAAGCCCATCTATCAAACCAGGGGTGACACTCCACGGTATCCTGAGGCTGCTATCTACACTGAGGACAAAATGTTCCGACCCTTCCACTACCTCGCTAATCGCCGTGTTTCCCCACTGAGAGAAAGTGAAGAGAGGGCCCCAAACAACGGGAAATGATCTAGTGAAAACTCTCCAAGAACTCCCAGCTTCTCTGTGAAAGAACTGATTCTGTTCCCACTGTACTTGCCTGGGAAAGAAAGGGCTATGGTGGTTACTCCATAACATTACAGTCAGGCAGGCAAGAGTCACCCACAGTCCTGGGCTGGCGTCCAGGGGTCTCCAGGGAGGGCCTCCTTCCCGTCTAGTCCACGCTCTGGCAAGCTCACTGACCCCCAAATCCAACCCATCCCTCTCTTCTTCTCCTCATGCTTTTCTCTCCACCTGGAATGGTCTCTCCACTCCCATCCCTTCCCGCCAAATCCCTATCCATGCCTCAAGGTGGAGTTCAAACCCACCTCCTTCACTTGTGGTCTTCCCTAATTGCTTCTGTGGGGGATTCTATTCTCCTCCAAACAACCACAGCCCTTCCACGTTCTGCACCACGTTGTGGTCATAAGAACGGGCACCTCTCCCTTCCTGGAAAACAACATCCGAAAGGTTGTGACCACAGCCCCCCTCTCCTGCAGCCTCGCAGCGCACCCCACACATAGCCAGGTCCTTGATAACTACTTAGTACGTGAAAAAACCCTCCTCCGAAACTCGGCCTTCAGAAAGCTGATGCTGAGGACGTGGGAGAAACACAGGGCCATCGCATTTCATCTCTTATGGGTCAATCCCCCCCACCACCACCACCACCACCACTACCACCATGGGGCACAGCAGCATTCAAGCGTCAGCAGGTCTCGGGCTTACAGTAAGCCCTCACTATGAAAAGGGACTGCTATCAGCACATATATTCTGTGTCATGTTCCAAGGGAAATCACTTTAGAATAATTGGCTGATTTGACAGGGCTTACAGCAAAGAGTACTGGCCGCCGCGTAAACATCAATAAGGTACCTACAACCAAGTTTTCATCCAATCAGCCATACAAATCTCTGAGCAACTGAAGGGTTAAATCTTGGGGAAATAAAAACAAATCGGACATAGTCTCTGACTCTCTTATTTGTCAACACACTTTTCAGAGTAATTCATTCTCCTCGCATCCCTACTAATATTTCCACTTTATACCCAGAACAAACTGTGAACAAACTGTGAAAGCAAACAGAGTGGGGGAGCTGCCCCGGGTGAATGCCTTTCTCACCTGGGAATGAACCAGGTGGAAACACATCCAGCTGGCCCTAATAGCCCCACGAGATTGCATTCTTCTGCTACAGCTCTTTTCTCACGGAGAGCACTACATTCGCTTTCATTTCAGGCTTTGTGGCTGGGTTAGAACCCACAAGTCCCCAGGCCCCAGTTCCCACCACTGTGCCTGTTGCTCTTTCCCCACCGGCAGATGCACCTGACGTTTTGCAACAGAAACTTGGTCTCACTGTAACTGCCAGAAGCAGCCCAGCGCCAGCTGCTGCCTGAGCCCTTGATAGGAGTCACGGTCACAGAGAGTGCCCACACTCTGCACCAACTGGTTAGCCTGGGCCTCCTGCACCACCGAGGGCCAGGTAGGACGTTCACCTGGCCCCACCTGTCACTGTCACAGACAGAAGAAAGGCGGGCTTCCAAGAGCAAGAGCGAGGAGCTCACCTGGCCCATAGTCCCAGTGCTCTCCAACCTCAGCAGGACCCTGTGGCTCAGTGGAAGGAAAGAGCCCATCACTATGCAGCTAGAAATCATTATTTTGTCCACAATCCAAACCCAATATGGAGTGGAGAGAGAGAGAGAGAGAGAGAGAGAGAGAGAGAGAGAGAGGAGATGGAGGGAGGGGAGAGAGAGACAGAGAGAGAGGAGATGGAGGGAGGGGAGAGAGAGAGAGAATATTCTGCTCTAAGGGAACGATCTTACATTTCACAAGCTGAACATTATTAAATTCTTTCTACAAGTTTGGCTGCCTTTTTCATTAATTTTAGGCACTGATGCATCATCAGACATTTGCCCAGAAGGCCTAATATCTTACCTAGATGTGAGAGCATGAGGAGGAGGGAAGAAAGTGAGCTTATCTTTCGTTAAGTGCTTTTCAAATTACTTTTGCCCCTCCAGGACACTGCTATGAGGTCATGACCTCAGCGCAATATTTTTACTTTTCATTTCTTTCAAATTCAAGAGAAGCAAATACTTTCATAGCCATACATTTTCCAGAAAACTGAGTTTTATCTTCTATTACAACCGCTTTTACAGTTGGGAGATAAAAGTGGTAAACTCTCTCCTTTGGTGCTTATTATAATAAAAAGAGATAATTAGCATTATTTTGTTGCTATTAGCTATAGTCACCTTCCAATTGGCTCAGGCGGCCAAGTAACAGAGTTTATTATAAAAAGTATGTAAAGCAAATAGTCTCAGGCTGAACTGCGATCCAAACTTATCTGGTGTGAAATTGTTAGATACGTCAGGAGTTACTGTTGCTGGGGGACTTTCATATGACACCAGGAACAAAAGTAACTTCTGCCCAAAAGACTTCCACGACCCTTCCACCCATACCAATGCCCCCAGAAGGCACAGCCCCCGGGGCAGAACT